GTCATGGCACCATCTGAATGGGCAGTGGGGAAAGCTAGCATCGTTCAACCATTGAACCATATGGCAAAGCAGGTTGACACAGCACATAGTAGGGCAGAGCGGTTGAGTCCTGGCTGGCTCCAGTGGAGCCTAGATTTGATCCTTAGGGTCTAAGACAAAGTCCATTGCATCCAGCAGTGTACAAGGGCAGGGAGAGAAATGGACTGAGCCTTTCTGCTAACAACTCATACTTTCTGGCCAAGCACAAGTGGTTGTGCTAAATACAGTGGGGCTCAGTGGGACAAGCACGGATCAGCAGTGCCAGGCTGCATAGAGGAGGCACAGGGCAAGCTTTGTACAAACACACACACACACACGTCTACACCCAACAGAGTGTGGTGGGCTGGAGGAGGAATCCTGGCCTTCATGGCAGGGAAACCAGTGGGGCTGGGGTGAGTGAGGAGGTTACTCATAAAATCCCTCGGGTTCATTGGCTCATCAGTCCCGCACAAGAGGTGCTGAAGCAGAGGCCATATCCCCACCCAAAGCTTTGCCAAGGCCCAGGTGGTGGGATAGGGACGTGAACAACATCCCACCCCATCCCAGGAGAGTAGAGCTGGTTTCAAGGGGGAGTAGGTAACTTTATGCATTTTCCATGTACAGAATCTAATTACTTGTGGGGGGGGTCGTCTCACATTCAGGGTCATCTTGCATTCGGGTAAATACAGTATAAGCTCACAGCTGCTTCTGCCTGTCACGCTGTCCGTGTCTGTCTGCTTTGTCTGTTTAGCTAACTTAAGTTTAATCTCATTTCTGCTGTCTGCCACATTCTCGGGGACTGACTCAGGTTTTCAAACCTCACCGTCCAGTTGTCTTCCCTCCTAACAGCCTTCGCCTAATACGTTTGCCTCATTATCCCGCGACTCCTTTGCACAGCGCTAGCCTGACACAGAGGAGCTCATGTGGGCCAGGGGATGAGAATCCTGGAAAACCCAAGTTTGGGCCAGAAATGAGTCGGTTGAATGAGTCTTTTTTAATCTGTTTCTACAGGGACCAGACATGGAGACCTGGGCTTGCAATAGACTGACCAGATGTTATGGGATACCACACCCCTGGGTGTTCGATGCAGCCACTCCATGTCTCTCGGGGTCAGGAGCAAGTTGTGATACTGGCTCCTCTCTCTCCTGCTGGAGCATTGGTGGCCTTTGGTATTCCAGTGACTTTGCTCTTGCTGTGTCTCCAGATCTCCCCGCTGACGGGCCCTCGGGAAGGAGGAACCAAAGTGACCATCCGTGGGGAGAACCTGGGGCTGGAGTTTCGGGACATTGCATCTCATGTCAAAGTGGCTGGAGTGGAGTGCAAGCCTCTGGTGGAAGGATACATCCCAGCAGAGCAGTAAGTTGGCCACTCAAGGGTTTGCAGACAGCACCATCCCCCCCGTAACAGTTTCCACTGCCCCCCTTAGCTCAGCAGGAGGGGTCAATGTCCCCGGAAAGCTAGGAGAAGCCAATGTTTTCTGTGTTCCTAGAAACCCAACATAGCAGGAGGCCCAGGGTTTGGCAGTGCCTGGTGCCTCCCTTACTCCACAGCTCACAAAGTCATTCCTAAGGCAGAGTTGGAGGCTGGCTTAGCAGTGAGTCTGCTCTAGCCCTTAATGCATATGTCTTACCAAGGCTCCCACACCCCCAGGGGTTACTGGGACGCAGTTCACTGAGCAGCTACACGTGGATGATCTTCTGCTCTTTGGGGGATAGCCACCAGAGATGGGCAGAAAAGAGCTGGCTTTGCTGTCCTGTCCCCAGGACAGGAGCCTGGTCTGTAGTGGGGTGGCCCACAAAGTGCATGAGCCCTGGAGTCAACCTGAGATTGGACCCACCACCCAAGAGATGGGTGGCAACTGGTGGCCCCTGGATTTAGAAGAGCAGAGGGACTCACGGGGCCAGACTGGTGGGTAAATGCTCTGGATTTCAGTGCAGTCTGACTTAACCTGGAGTTTAAACAGCCCTAAGAGGCAGTGTCCCTGAGGAGAATCAGCAGGGGCTGCAATCTGATAACCCAGGCCCCCTGCCCTCCTGGAAACTACGCCTCCCATCTGTGCTTTCCCTGCAGGATAATGTGCGAGATGGGGGAGGCCAAACTCAGCCAGCACGCCGGATTCGTGGAGATCTGCGTGGCTGAATGCAAGCCGGAGTTCATGGCCAGGTCCTCACAGCTCTACTACTTCACGGTAAGCACAGCTCGGAAATTGGAAATCTCAGCAGCACCAGAGGAGCAAGACTCCCATGTCACCGCTACTTGGTGCTGTTCTTGAGGGTTATCTGGGGTTAGCATTGGATGCTAATGTCTGCTTGGACACCAGGGCTGTATCGCTATTCTGAGCCGATAGCAGCCAGCAGATTGAGGCTCTCTGTTTCTTGCCACTGCCATCTGGACATAATGGGGGCAGGATGCCAACCTGATTCTGCTCTGTTACATCACCATCAATTGGAACAAATGCTGCTGAAGGCAGCAGAGCTATATTGATGTAAAAATGAAGAGAGAAGGGGTTCGTATCCACTGTAGTGCCTGCACGCGTGTGTTGAAACGCCCCATCCACCCTGCTCCTCTGTCTCCTTCTTCCTTCATACACCTCGAATCTGCAAAATCTGCTTAATGGAATAAGGCTCATTGTTTCAGACGTCCAGGGCATACCTGAGCCCTGATCCACAGAGATCTTTCTTCTAGATGAGATTGTAAGATCATAGGAAAGTTGGGCTGGAAGGGACCTCGTAAAATCATCTAGTCCAGCCCCCTACTCAAGGCAGGATCACCTCTGGCTAAACCATCCCAGCCGAGTGTCTGTCCAACTTATGCTTGAGAATGTCCAAGGATAGCGATTCCACAGTTCATCTAGGTCGCCTGTTCCAATGCGTAACCAACCTCATGGTAAGCAAATTCCTCCTGATTTCCAAACTAAATTTCCTCTGCTCCAGATTAAGGCCATTGCCTCTAGTCTTGTCCCTTGCAAGCACAGGAAAAAGCCCATCTTCATCCTTTCTATAATCACTTCAGGTATTTGAAGGTGGTTATCAAATCCCACTCGTCTTTTTCTACAGACTAAACAATCCTGGTTCTTTCAGCCTTTCCCCAGAAGGCATTTTTTTTCCCAGGCCTCTAGTTATTTATGTTGGTCTCTTCTGGACTTTTTCCAATCTGCCCTCATCTTTATTGAACTGGACACAGAGGCTTCCTTGCCAGAGAAATCTGTCTTGGCCTGCAGAAAGAACTGCTCCTGGCTCGGGCCATTCGTATACCTGTGCACTGTTACTCGCTGCAAAGGGCATTGGTAATGAAATGCAAATAGTCGTGATTTCCACATTTAGCTAAGGACGCCTTTGCTGCTCTCTGGCAAGTGTCACTCAGATGCTGTGTTGTTAGGGACGTAGATATACCTAGACAGATAGCCCCCATCAAGCAGACAGAAGGGCTCTTTCCAGGACATTACACTTTAGCTTGTCACCTTTGCTATTCCTGGAATTACTGTACTGGTCCGATCATCCGTGTCCATCTGTGACAGCTTTTCCCTTTGCTCGCTGCCTTCTTGACTGCCGGCTATGACATCCGCGCACGAGTTTAAAGTCAACAGGGTTTTCTTTGCTGAATACCTCCATACCTTTGTGCCAGACAGCAAAAGCAGATGCTCCCCAGCTCTTTCCTCATATGCACTTGGCTGCTTTATCCCTGGCTTTGCTCAGCTCCCACCGGTATCTATGAAAAGATCATAATATGCCTCCTACAGCAGTGGTGCTGATGTACTAGGATCAGGGTTGACAGGTATGGGGGGAGAAGGAAGCTCAGGGATCAAGCAGGGAAGCTGAAGAAGGAGCAGGAAGGTTTGGGGTGGAGCTGAATAGTTTGGTCGATTCATCCCATAATGGAGCATTGGAGGCACTGCAGCATTTTGCAAAATGAGGTTGATTTGGGCCAAGAGAGTCAGGCAAAGAGTAGTAAATAAGTAAAGGAACCGGGAGAAAATGTTAGGCAGCATTTTCTGTTGGCATTGCTGGGACCAAAGGTTTTGTTTTGGAAACACCAGAAGGATGACGCTGCAAGAGCTGCAAATTATTCCTTTCATCTCAGTGGAGCACACTGAAGTTACCCCAACACGAGCTCGGCAGCACAGCCCAGAGCTAACCCCCCCCTGAAACGGCATAGCTCCGAGATGCTCTGTGGGGATTTAACAAGCTTTAACAGGAGGATGCTTACATTTTAGTATGGCCCAGCTGTAATGTGTAACTTTAGTGTTTCACTTTAAGGATTTCAAATGAAACTTTTCAACTTCAGGTACCAAGGCATTTTGGTTTGCGTTTTTTTTTCATTAAAAAAAAATGACTTCAGTGGAGAAAACAAAGAGAAAAAGACGTTCCTCAAATGGTTCGGTGACTCATATGAGACAGAACCTCTCGCTTGTTGTCATGTAAATTGTTTCAGGTTGGCCTGAAATGAAATTATTTAATGCTTCTGTTTTATCACACAAAAAAAATTAAAAATCCTGTTTTGTTTCAACCCAAACTGAGTCATTTCCCCTGATTATTCACTTCAACCACTGAACCAAAAAATCCATCACTAACCAGCTCTGGCTGGGAGAAGGAGGGCCCGAGATGAGCCTGACAGTAGCAGTGAATGGGAAGCCTGGTGCACAACACACAAAAGAGCAGTATCTATCCAGGCACAAAGCGGGCATAGATAGCATAGGATGAGAGGAAGAAAGGAGAAAAGCATCAGAGAAGGACATAAAAGAATGACTGGATTCCTCCTTTCCATCATGGTCTCTGTCCACTTTACCCTATTAAAGCTTCGCTAATCCTCCTTGTATTTTTTGTCGCTTTTTGTCCATGCGGCAACAGTAAACAGTCTGGAGCCTGATTTTTAATGTAAATACACCGTGCAATATTTATGAAGGCTGGCATGAATAATTAACAGTTTACTGAAACTTTGCAAGCTTATCCGTAAACCTTCTCAGAAGACCTGCAAAAACTCAGTGACCTTTTGGCAGAAAGGAATTGCTGGGAGGGATTAATTTTTACTGGGGCTGTTGAAAGGCCAGAGGTCAAGTAGTCAGGGTAAGTTTCTTTTAGTCTCAAGAGCAGAGGAGGGAGAAGGTTGGGAGGGGGACCTGGAGTCTTTCCATCTCTTGGTCATTCAGTTAAATTTCACCAAGTTCATGTGGAAGAAGTTGATGGTTCTCAATCCCATTCCTAACAGCCAAGACTCTTCATCACAGGTGCCATCGTTGTGGTCAACACTACTTTGTCTCCAGGTCAGCACCTTTGGGTGCGAGGCTAACGATTCAGTGCAACCTGGTGACTGAACCCCCCTTTTAGGGCAGGGATCTTGTGCTTCTCCATGTATAGCTTCAGACTCGAAGGCTGCTGTCAGTCTGACCCCTTTTCCAAGTGCTAACTTCATTGCAAATGAAAGCAAAGCAGAAACATTTCCATCGTGTTAGAGTACATTTTCAAAGCGATTAGCTGAAGGGGAGGAGTGTAGAGAGGGGAGGCTAGGACGTGCCCTGGGTGATTTTATAAGCTTGTATTAATGGTCTCTGAAGTTCGGTAAGACAACTGTGTGCTGTACCTGCTTGTTCCCGCTTTTATAGCATCATTCTTAAAAAGAGAAGGGAAAAAAAAACCACCCTTCATTTAAATGCATATAGTGGCTTTACACTTGGGAGTGAGCGGAAAGTTTTTCTATTAAAATGCAAATGAAAGAATAAACTCTAGCTCCAAATTTCTCCCTGCAAATGGATGTTTCCTCCCCGTGTTTTGGTATCAGGGCGATCTGGGCTTTCCGAATATGATTATTTTATCTTGATGTGGAAAAGAAGAGAGCTCATTTTCTTTTGGCCCTAGAGGAATCTTGCCTTTTTTAAATACCGTTGTCCAGCATCTTGGTGTAATTCGAAAAGGAGCTCAAAAGCAGGCATGAAGGAAGCTGATGATTTGGAAATGATACCATCCCTTATTAATAGCAGCATGGTCACTGCTGAGATCAGTGCTCTGTTATGCCAGGTATTGCCCATGCACGTAGCACAAAAGATACTTTCTGTCTCCAGATCTTCTGCAGAGACAAGCAGGAAGGATTATTCCCTTTGCCAGACACAAGGACAGATGAAGCAAAACGAGATTTGGTGCTTTACCCAGGATCACACAGTAAATCTGTGACCGAGTCAGGAATTGAGCCTAGGTTTCCTGAATCCCCACACAGCGCCATAATCACAGCCATCCTTCTTTGCCTTTTTTCTTTCATAGGACCATGCTACCGAGGAGTATACAATTGACAGAGTGATTGTCTCTACTTAAATTTTTTTAAATCTCCCTACAGAATTTCACAGCGGTGTTAAAGTCCTCGTCTGCATTCTCTGCGTTGGCATAGAAATCTTGCAGAAAGGCACTAATCCCCCCTCCCCCTCATTAAAACAATAAGATTTTAGCAACATTTCTCTAAGACGTGTTTATGTTCCTCACTATCTTGGAAAAAATCTTGGATCTTGGGAAAAAGTCATCAAAGTAACCATCAACAACAGACTAACAACATGTAACGTTCTGAGAACTAGCCAACACGGCTTCATTGCGGGTAGGTCTTGCCTGACCAACCTCATTTCCTTCTATGATCAGGTGATGCATCACCTGGACAAAGGAGAAGAGGTTGGTGTCATATATTTGGATTTCAAAACAGCCTTTGACTTGGTCTCCCATGATGTCCTCATGGTAAAAATGGGGAACTGCGGCCTTGACAACCTTATGGTCTGATGTCTGGGGAACTGGTTCTGCAGTCGGACCCAGAGAGCAATAGTCGATGGAATTAAGTTAACATGGCACACAGTGACCCAGGGCTCAGCACGTGGGCCAGTACTCTTTAATATATTCATAAATGATCTGCACTTGGGTGCCAGAAGCAGACTGGCTAAGTTCGCAGACGACACCAGATTCTGGGGAAGTGCAGTCACGCTAAAGGATAGGCTGGTGATTCCGGCCAACCTGGACAGGCTCTCAAAACCTGATGACATTCAACACTCAGAAATGCAAGGTGCTCCACCCTGGGAGAAAAAACCGACATCATACTTACAGGCTCAGCAGTGCTACACTCATTAGCACCACAACCAAAAGAGACTTAGGGGTCATGATTGATCACGGGATGAACATGAGCCACCAATGCGATGCTGCAGCTGGCAAAGCTTACAAAACTCTGGCTTGCATCTACCGATGAATCTCAAGCAAGACCCAGGAAGTCATTCTCCTGTTTTACTTGACTTTGGTGTGGCTGCTGCTGGAGTACTGCATCCAGTTCTGGGTTCCACGCTTTAGAAAGGAAATGAAGAAGCTTGAGAAAGTCCAGAGAAGAGCCACACGCATGATTCGAGGTCAAGAGAGCAGGCTTGATGAGGAGAGGCTGAGGGACATGGGACTCTTCAGCCTGGAGAAGCGCAGGCTCAGGGGGGATTTGGTGGCAGCCTGTAAGTACATCAGGGGTGTGCATCAGGAACTGGGGGAATGTCTGTTCACCAGGGCACTGTAAGGCTTGCCCTCTTGGCTTTTGATCATACGCTTGGACTCTCTCAAGCTTATGTCCCTCCTGAAGGGGGGAGCCCAGAAGCGTCTCTAAAGCTCTGGTGACTTTTCCGTAAGGAACACGCATGCAGGGTTGTGTCAGATCCATTTAGCTAGTTGAGGATGGAGTTTCATTGACTCAGGAGCTGCTGCATTTTAGCAAAGTAAGTTCCAAATTGCAGATGGGTAATGGAGATCTGGGTCTTTGCTAGACTGCTTCATGCCTGGACCTCCCTTTGAAATGTTTGATCATCTATGAGTAGCTACGACAGGCCCAGCTTTGCGGGGAGGAACAGAAGAAATAAAACTGAGCAGACAAGTAGGGTCATGGCCTGCTTAGTATTATGGCCTCTACTGTTTACGAGTCTCCCAATAGACACACCCTGAAAGGCCCTTAATCCTGGGCATAAACAGGGTAGCATCTCCCATCACCTACTCAATGTGAACCTTTCTCTTCACAGTCATTGGCGCTGTCAGGCCTAAAGCCGAAGAGGGGCCCAGTGTCAGGCGGCACACAGGTGACAATTACCGGCTCCAACCTGAACGCTGGCAGCAACGTCATGGTGAAGTTTGGGAGCCAACCGTGCCTTTTTTACAAGTATGCATGCGTCCTTCTCACTACATGTGCCATGAATAGAGAAAGAGGTGGCTAGCACTCTCTCCTGATGGTGCTCCTTGACTATGGGGATACAGAAGATATTTCCTGTTTATCCAGCTGTCCTGGACCTGGACTGCTTAGGCAGTGGCAGACTTGGTCCTGGCACTGGACAACTCATGTGGTGTAGTAATCTAGCATGTTCCCCCATGAGGTGCACATGAAACAGTTCAACTCAGTCCCTTCAGCACATCATTTCTCCTGAGGAGTCCCTGACATAGTTGGTAGCCATAACTCATTGATATGTGACCAAAGGATTAGCTAGAGGGTGGTTTGCAGATGATGGCGGTAGTATATTGGCTGAGCTGTGGAGAGGCCCAGATCTGCAACAGCAAGCAGGATGTAGGTGCAGGGGCTGTGTGATGAGAAGTGGACAATGATGCCTAAGGGTAACCAAGCGATACCAGTAGCCCCTCTTGCTTTCAGTGGGTATGTCTACACGTGCATTAATGTCAGCTTAAATTTATTGCGCAGTAAGCGGGAATAAGCCAGCATCTACATGTGCAGGCATTAAAGCAGGCTAACTCTGTGTGTGGACTGACTTGGACCTAAAGATAGACCCGCATCAGTCCACACATACAGTGTTACTGCTCAGTAAGGCGTCTATACATGCGTTACTGCGCAGTAACTAATAAGGTGCAAATTTGATACTTGCATGATGCAGCCATCAAATTTATGTTCAAGTTGGTGTAAATCACCATATTTACTGTCCAGTACTGCCATGCACATGTAGATACAAACCCATTCTGCACAGTAATTTCAGTTACTGCGCAATAAATGTGCACATGTAGACGTGCCCAGTGAGTACCATTCATGTTACTGTCCACATTAAAGTCAAAATCACCAAGAGAAGCAGATTAAAAGAGAGGGAACATGAAACCAAAGCCTGGGCAGATCTTTGAGCACCCTGAGGACTGTAGTAGAATAGGAATGAAATGGATGGGCAAGAGGAGAGAGCCTCTCTCAGACATGCACACCACTCCTGTCTCGCAGCCTACAGCCATTTGAGCTTCATGTATTTCATGTGAAGGTCCTTATTGGGAATCTTCCCAAGTGGGAGAATATGATGCATTTCACTGTTTTGATTGGTATTTGATGTACATTTTCCATGGTCCCTTGTTAAGTTTCATTTTAATTCTCCTTGGGCCCCATGCGTCGCTTGTCTGCCTGGGAGTAAAATGTAAGTAATTCCTTTCCAGATCCCCACTGTATAGGAGGGGGGAAATATAACCTATTGGCTCTGAGTGCTAAAATACTTCTCTGCTGTCTAAATATAACCCTAGAAATCAGTGAAATGGATGGCTCAGCAGAGACTGGGACTCTTCCGCTCTACATCACCTCTTTGTTCCCAGTCCAGAATAACAGTAACCCCAAATCAGGGTCACCTCCTGGCTCCTCTTTAATCCTTGGGAAACTGAGTCGGTGTCCAGTTCCAAAGCACAAACCCCTTCTAAAGTGAACAATATTAATTAAATAATTAGAGGTAAGGGCTTCAGTCCCTGGAGCTGTCAGTAGCTCATTCGTCATTCCTGGGAGTGATGCAACTTGACTTTTGCAGTTCCTGGATATAAGTCCAGTCCCTTTTCCTGCTGCTACGTAGGTCGGGGGGGGAGGGGCTAGCTTTTCTCAGAGACTGCAGCTGAGGCAGGGGGTTGGACTAGATGACATCTGGAGGTTGCTTCCAGCCCCACTTCTCTGTGTCCCAGCCTGTGATTTAGGGTTTTGGATAGAAAGAGTGATTGCCTTGGAGCTGCTTACAGAAGACTGACCAGGGAGTGTTGGAGGGGTTAGGTCCAGTAGATAGGCTGTTTTCTTTCATGGGGGCAGAGGGGAAGGCTGGAAAGCAGAGGGAATGAGTGTCACACAGGCAGGATAATGATGGATTTCTCTCTGGTTATATGGACGGACGAGCCTGAGTCACTGATTACAGGTGCTTGGAGATCAAGGCTCTTGGGCTTAGGTTCTTGCTCAGCGTGTTCTAAAGGGAAGGGCGAGCTACAAAACTCACTCTTGGTTCTGGTTTCAAACCCTAAAAAATAGGGTTGGGGGTTTTTTTTTGCTTCAGGCTCTTTATTAATAAAATGCTTCACACTGTATTGGCACCTTCCACCCCAGGATTGCAAAGCACATCCTTATCTTTAACCCAGTCTCAAAAATGGATGCTGTTGTCTCAAATTACAGAGAAAGCAGAGACCGTTCTTGCTCTGACAGTGGTCAGTGCTGATGCTTTGTAGGATGAAATGAAACCCCTGGCAGGCACTTCATCATGCGGCCTCTTCCCTGAGTCAAATAGCTCTGGGATGCCTGCTGGGGTTCAGTGTATGCCATGATGGCCTGGGGGTGGAAAGCTTATGCCAGTCTATCCAAAATGTCAGTTTTGATCCAAATCTATTCACCTCAAATTCCTGCAGCATCAAGTTCCTCAGGTTAGCAAAGCAGGGCATACAAAGGAGAGGAGGTATTCTGGGTAGTCAGGTTGGTGGCAGAGGCATTTGTTGGTAATGTTGTCTTGCTTACGTGGACTAGCACTTGCTTTATTCTTCCTAAACTCCATTCCTAGGAGGACCCCCAAGCACATTGTCTGTAACACCACAGCCTCCGGTGACGGGTTTGAGAAGGTGCAGGTTTCCGTGCAGGTCGACAAGGCCAAGATATCCCAGGAGCTGCAGTTTGAATATGTGGAGGATCCAACCATCATGAGGATTGAGCCAGAATGGAGCATCTTCAGGTAGTCATTCAGTCAGCACTCATAATTTCCTTTCTCCTTGATTGCTGCTCATGTCCCAGTGCATTGCCGGATCCAGAGGCATGGGCTGTCTTAGGCTCCAGTTCAGCAAACCACTTTCCAATTCAATTAATGTGAAGAGACTTGGATTTCAGTAATATTTAAGTACAGAAACTCATGGTGTCATGGTCCGGGGAAGGTTATGCCCTAAAATATTTATAGCATAGTGCCTTTTGTTTGGATGGGCATGAGGCCTTTTTACACTGTGTGTGTGTGTCTAACGTGAAGCTTGGGAATACCATGCCATGTGTTTTAATTGCTAATGCAGTTGCAACAAAACTGCCCACTGTCTGAGGCTCAGGTATGTGCCTCTGTGCTACAGCTTCCACCTTTGTGCTGAAAAAAGGTTGCGTCCTGTATCTGTGTCTCATCCATCAGTAGGAAGAAAAAGTCGGATGCTCTTCTGTTACCACCTCTCCCCTTAACTTAGGGGCTGGACAGAGCCACCTTAACGTATCCTCAGTGGGGCATCCCACATTCACCGCCCCCCAAAGAATAGCCAAACCCATTCAGATGAAATATGGGAACAAACCCTCCAGCCCGCAATCCTCAGGTTCAGCAGCACGTTTCTCATTGAGGTTCAAGCGAGTCTGGGTCATGCCTATTCCTCATCTTTAATTTCCAGGTGCTCTGGCACTCACAGAACAGCAAGTGCTGAAGTACCACTCTGAAACCAAGTGCTGAACGGGCTGTCTCTCTCCAGAGAAAGCTCTTGAGACATCTCCAGGCCAAGGCTGCAGATCCAACATGTTTGGAGATGCATCCGTATCACTGAGCACTGCAGATCCCTCACTAATCTCCTCCGGGACTGAGAGCGATCAGCTCCCGCTTTCATCCAGCCTGGATTTGCTCCGCACCATGTTTCTGCATCTTATTTGTTTGGCCATGGTTCTCAGAGACCCCAGTCAAAATCAGGGCTCTATCTATGGTGCACAAGCACCAGGGGAGGGTCAGGCCCCGACCTCACCCCTCCACCAAAAGGCTCATTATGGAATGGACTGACCTATTTTTAGCCTAGGCTCTCCCCTTAATACCACGGATGCAACCCCATTGACTCCAGAGAGGTCACGTTCGTATGGCTGAGAGGACAGATTTGGCCTCAAGTGTGGAAGGGACCCACATATTACACAAACACAGTCACAAGCTTGCAAGACTGGCCCAGTGAAGAGAGAAATTGGTCATTAAATGCTCCAGGATTTCCTTTAAAAGATACAAAGTCAGAAATATTAGTCTCCTCTCATCCATCCATTATGGTTCTCATCTCCCCTGTCAAACTGGAGTGATTGGAGTGTCTGGGGATTAGGCGCAGGGTTTGTAAATCCCCCTGGCTCAGCTCCCGTCCGGAGCATGTTTTCACAAATCAATTAGTGGCTTTAATTACTGTGAGGGAATTTACCATTTGAGCCGGACCGAATCTTTGTGCATTGGGCTGGAGGCTTTCGTGTCCAGATTTTCCATCTCAGGGTTTTATTTTCAGTCACAGTGTTAGGTTATCAGCAAAATGAGAAATCGCTTTACTCCCTTCCCTATTACAGTGAGTTTAGTGCTGGGGAAAGGTGTGGGATTGACAGCCCTGGAGAGTGATTTTGTCTATTATCCCTAGGAAAGTTATAGCACAGGCAGCTTTCTTCACACTGCTTCAAAGCTGGCGAGTAGGGGAAAAGGGCTTTCTGGTTTCTGTGAAGTCAATGCCACTAGAAACGAGCTGTGACTCTCTTCATGCGGCTTAATGAACAGCCACTCGACGGGTCCAGCTCTTGGCCTGTTGAAAACAGCATCTGTCTCATGTCTGTGGAGTCCGATGAACATTGCATTTCTGTCCCTCCATAGTTGGGTTCAGGCCCCAACCTCACCCTAGCAAGCATCCAGCTGTGGGTCTTTCCCAGCCACAGCTGGATTGGAGCCACTGCCCTGGAGTGAAATTGGTGGGGTTCATCCTGGACCCTGGAGAACATCACTTCCATCCCAAAATCAGCCTTCAGGATCCTGGGTTTTCCTTTCCCTGTCAAATAGCAAATAAAGCTGAGTGGCTTTGCGTTGCTGCCTTCCGGCTCTCCCTACTGCTCTTTCAGGCACAGATCACAGCCCAGTTGGCTCCGAAGGGAAAGGGGAGTTAAGAGTCATAGAAAACATGGGTTGGAAGGGACCGGAGGAGGTCACCTCTACTCCAACCCCTGCTCAAAGCAGGACCAGTCCCAACTACACCATCCCAGCAAAGGCTTGGTCTAGTCGGGTCTTAAAAACCTCCAAGGATGGTGCATTAAAGCCGGAAGGCTGTTGAATGTAATGTAAGCACTTTGCAGCCCTGGGGCATACTCAGCTCCACAGTAGAGACATCAAAGCCCATTCTTTAGGTTCCTCTCTTTCCTGATCTGGTGGCACGAGAGCTGACAGCGGGGCCTCTGCTTTCACAGATAATGTTGCACCCCCACCCCAGGCCTTGAAAGGCAGCTCCATGCCACTTTGCTCACCTGGCTGTTTAGTAGGGCGAGGCCAAATGCTTAGTGAGATGCCTCAAGGCAGCTCAGCAGAACCTCAAACAGGGCTGGTGGAGGCAGTGTGGGTGGAAGAATATACATCCCAACAGGGGTGGAAGAATATACATCCCTTTTGCATGCAGCCCTGAGTGTTAACCTCCAGGTCTGGACACGTATCTTTGCCGGTTTCTTTCCACACTTTTGGGCTGTGATTGAAACCGGGAGCACCAAGATACCTGCACTGAACCTCTAGGGGGTCCCTGATAGGTTGCCAAGGAAGGTTTCCAGATCACTTGCAAATGGTGTTTCCAGAATAGGCTTCATATGAGACAAGCCCAGTGCAGTCAGTCGTAGCAAGCCAACACTTAGCCAGTTGCCTCTCTCTGTAATGGGGCGCTGTCTCCTATGCATTCAAACCCATCACATCCCAAGAGTTAACTGTGTCCACGTCCATACACTTTGCCCTGCATGTTTAGTAAGTGGAGGGAAGCTGATGGACGGGGAAGACAGTGAGTACAAGAGGGCAATCTCCTTTCTGTCCCCAGCAAGTTTTGGGCTTCTCCCCATGTCATTCCCCTGAAATAACACAGCAAGATTCACATTTGAGAGACGGGGTGAAAATCAGCTGAAACCGCAGTGCTGGAAAGGAGACGGTCATGGATGAGACAGCAAATCAGGCATCGTGACTGAGCAGCAAAAATGCTCATTGGAGACCTTTTTGCCTTGCCCCCATCACAGGTCAGGGTGTGGGAGTCCCTGTCTGTCTGACCGAGGAGTTGGCCTGTGGCTGCCTGTCCGCATACAGCACTTTTAGGGGTGGCACAGCCTGGGAGCACCCCCCACCATTACATTTGGTCCTGGGTATTTTGAAAATGGGTGTTTCATGCTCTTTCTTTGTTTTGTTCCTAGTGGAAACACACCCATTGTTGTATGGGGAACACACCTGGACCTGATACAGAACCCCCAGATCCGGGCAAAGCATGGGGGAAAGGAGCACGTCAATGTGAGTATTACTGCTGGCGATGGGACCACGTTAAAGAGCATGACAGTGTTGGCTGGTGAGATGAGCTAGAGAATGAATCTGTTTATCTGCAGAGCAGTGAACCCTGGAAGCAAAGGCAAGGCCCCCTCAAGAACGGCCTTCCAGTATGCCTCGGCTTCAACCTGGAGAGGCAAGAGGAGTGTCAATGGTCCATTCAGTCCCTGGTCTCTGCTGGGCCTTGCCACAAGAGTGACACTTGGGAGCAGGGATAGTTTCAGTGGCTCAGACACTTGTGTGCTAGAAGTGGCTACTGCCTACCCATTGCGTGTGCCCCCCACCCCCAATCTGCAGCTGTGGTATCGAGTGGATGGATCCAAACGCCTGTTCTCGGCAGAGCATGCTGGGATCAGCAAAGTGTGAGGATGCTCCACTACTACTATGGTAACACCACTGGCCAATTCAGGAGCAGTGTACACAGGCCCTGGCAGCTAGAAAGAGACTCATAGACTCATAGAAAATGAGGGTTGGCAGGGACCTCAGGAGGTCACATTTAGTCCAGCCACCTGCACAAAGCAGGACCAGCCCCAGATACATCATCCCAGCCAAGGCTTTGTCTAGCCAGGTCTTAAAAACCTCCAAGGATGGAGATGCCACCACCTCTCTAAGTAACTTGTTCCAGTGTTTTACTACCCTCCTCTTAAGAAAGTTTTTCCTGATATCTAACCTAAACTTCCCTTGATCAACTTGAGCCCATCACTCCTTGGTCTGTCATCTGCCACCACTGAGAACAGTCCAGCTCCATCCTCTTTGGAGCCACCCTTCAAGGAGTTGAAGGCTGCTATTAAATCCCCCCTCTGTCTTTTCTTCTGTAGACTAAATAAGCCCAGTTCCCTCACAAGTCATGTGCCCAAGGCCCTGAACCATTTTTGTTGCCCTTCACTGAACTGTCTCCAATTTGTCCACATCCTTTCTGCAGTGGAGGGCCCAAAACTGGACAGAGGACTCCAGATGTGGCCTCCCCAGCACTGAGAATGGATAATTACTTCCCTTGATCTGCTAGCAGCACTCCTACCAATGCTATTAGCCTTCTTGGCAACAAGGGCATACTGCTGGCTCATATTCACCATTTTGTCCACTGTCACCGCCAGGTCCTTTTCTGCAGAACTGCTGCCCAGCCAGTCAGCCCCCAACCTGCACCGATGCATTGGGTTTCTCCCTCCTAAGTGCAGGACTTGGCACTTGTCCTTGTTGAATCTCAAGTGTAGGGTCTGGTTCTAGTCCTACTGACCCAGGAGATCTTGGGACCAGCTCCAAACTTCAGAGCAGAAAGGGATGGGTGGCATTTTGCAGCAGCTTGTGGGTAACAGAAAAGCAGTACCTGGGTGGAAGGAGCTAGCTTATCCTAGCATGGCCTCATCAGCTCTGTTGGGGAGGCAAGGAAGGGACACCTGGGAAGCCTGGCATCTGAAGTCAGCTGCCGCCCACCAGGTGAGGATCCACGTGGCAGCGGGCAAGGCATTCAGTTGGGGATTCGGGTGTGGGGGGAAGCAATGGACAACAGGGGTCCCGGTGGGCACATGGGGGTCAGCTCCAGCCAGATCATGAACTCTACACGGGTCCTCCCTCACTGCAAGCTGCCTGCTGGCAACAGGGGCAGGAGAGCGGCGGGGTCTGGCAAGCGTGTGCCAGTGTTTCAGAAGGTCTGACGCTGTCAGTAAGACCAGCCCCATGCTCTTTGCTAAGGCTTTACAGCCAGGGACCTCAAAGCACTTTGCAGGCTGTCATTAATGTCACTCTGTGCAGATGGGGAGAGAGCAAGACTGGACAAGGACTCAGGAGTCCTGATTGACTATTCACTGCTTTAACCACTGACCAGGCTTCCCTTTGCCCAAGATGGGCCCTATAATGCTTCCTCCCTATATAGACAGGGCCACATCTAGATTGATGGGTGGTCCAGCATTTGGCCCGCTTGATGGTACATAAGGCACCTTCTTGGCAGAGAGGAGGATTTGAACCAGACACTGCTTCCCCCATCTCCCGGAGCAGCTCTGGCTCTAACTGGGTGTATAGTTTTGACCCTGTCGTACCTACCAGACACAGCCCAGTATTGTGTTGCTCCAGTGCTCCCTGCAATGTTGAACCCATTCAGGTGAGCAGTCCACATCCCTCCCGCGGAGCAGGTTGTGGCACGAAGCTGGGCTGCTTGGTGCTAGGTCAGAGCCATCCCAGTGAGAAGAGGCTGGCCTGTTGCATCTTCTGCATCTCTTAGGCACCAAGTCACCTTTCTCCTGTGCACCAATCTGGGCTAAACCAATCCTAGCCCCTGTCTGAGGCCAGCCACCATAGCGAAGCCTTCCTCAGCAGCAAGGGATGCAACAAATGAGGAAAAGGAAGTTGGAAAAGGAGGAGTGTTACAGACAGACCTGGGTCCGTGATGATCTTTGGGAGTACCATACTGCCCAGTGAGGTCTGGACTCATTGCTCTCTGAAGAGTTAGTGAGAGACAGACACTGTCCAGACGTGCATACATGCCAACCAGATGAGAGCAAAACTGCTGTCGGACCCATTTTATAGATGGGCAACTGAGGCATGGAGACAATCAGTGATTTACTCAACATTATCTGGGGACCTTGTGAATGGCAGAACCAGGCACCAAATACCCACCTTCCCTGAGTCCTGATCCAACATTGTAAACACAAGGTTGTCCTCTGGAGCCAGACTTGGAGAGCCCCACAGTTTAGGACAGTGCATTATCTAGCCTGTAATAAAGATAAAAGCTACTAGTAAGATGAGACTCCTCAGTCAGATGCGGATTTGGAGCAAGTCTCAAAGTGGGGAAGCCAAGTAGGGGTGGAGCTGTAGCTTTGGTGGTGCAGGTCTGCATTGAGGCAGAGGTGAAGAAAAATCGGGGTTGATGCAGGATGCTGGCACTGGCATCCTTGGAGACTGAAGTCTCTCCAAGGAGGAGGTGCCACGTAAGCAGGAGCCCTGAGACAGCAAAGCCTCCTACAAGAAGAATGGGATTTCCATGCCCTTTGCAGTCTAGTTGATTGTACCCTCCGGAGGGATGGATGTAGAGGTGGAGTGACAGTGGTACCCAGGCAGGGCGACCCTCTTGGAGGTAGGGGTGAGGTGGGATACTGTCGCGGAATGGGGTTTATTCTCCTATAAAGTGTTTGCTCGAGTGGGTTCATCTTAAAGGTCCATATTGGCTTCTTCCCCCTAGATCTGTGAGGTGCAGAACTCCACCGAGATGACCTGCCAGGCTCCAGCACTGGCGGTCGACCCCAGCTACCAGTCTGATCTAGCCGAGCGCCCAGAAGAGTTCGGCTTCATCCTGGACAACGTGCAGTCCCTGCTGATCCTCAACAAAACCAACTTCACCTACTACCCCAACCCAGTGTTTGAGGTTTTCAACCCTGCAGGGGTCCTGGAACTGAAGCCGGGAAGCCCCATCATACTGAAGGTGAGGGTGTGGGGGAAAGGGATGGAGATCCAGAGAATGGTGTTGCCTCTTAGAAATGCATTTGATGTTCAAATAGCTTCACCTGCCAGTATTGCACCAGTCATGCGGAGGTCCCCACCCACATCCCACCAATCCAAGAAGACCATCTACATGCATCCACACGTTCTTCCACACAAGAGCGGCTCTGCCAACATCCCAGCAGTCACAGCACTGCACCCAGTGACATCAAATCATAGAAAATTAGGATTGGAAGGGACATTAGGAGGTCACAACTAGTCCACCCCCCTGCTCTATGCAGGACCAGCCCCAACTAGATCATCCCAGCCAGGGCTTTGTCGAGCAAGGCCTTAAAAACCAAGAATAGAAACTGCACCATGTCTCTAGGTAACCTGTTCTAGTGTTTCACTACCCTCCTAGTGACAAAATTTTCCCTAATATTCAACCTAAACCTCCCTTGCTGCAACTTGAGCCCATTGCTCCTTGTTCTGCCACCTGCCACCACTGCTGAGACATCTCAGCCATCGCAGCATTGTGGTCACATCACCAATCATGGCTAGCACCGACCAAAATCCTATCAGTCATAGCCCAGGCACCCACGTACAGCAAACACCCACCAATCGCAGCCCAACACCTACCAACACAGTGCCAATCACAACCCAACACCCTCCAACATTTTACTAATCACAGCGCAGCACCCGGCGCGGACAGAGGCATGGGCGAACTGAGCGGCTACCTGGGGCCTGGACAGAAACGGGGCCCAAAAATGGTAATTTTTTTCCCATTGTCCGATTA